ATACAATGTTTCTGCTCCCGTATCCACTTACACTGGGACGAGGACGCCCCTCTCCCTGAGGGGGACGAATGTTACGCGCACCAGCCTGATGTGGGAGACGTCCTACTAATGGCCCTTGGTGTGGGGGACGCCCTGCCCAAGGCACGTACTATTCCTCACCCACTGTAACCTTTATCCATATTAGGATACGGGAGTAGGAGGTGTGGTCCCGCCTAGGTGCCCTGTAAGGACCTAGGTGCCCGGCGAGGCGGGTCCGCGGCTCAAAGAGGGCAGGAACCCCACACCCACATCCTATTCGTAACACGATCGCTGCTGGGAAGGGCCCGCACTTATGATTTATAGTACGCCATGATAATGTGTTCTATGTGTGTGCTGCCTCCAGCCAAGTACTGGCAGCGATCGCTGCCGAGAAGGGCCCGCACTTATGATTTATAGTATGCCGTGATGATGTGTTCTGTGTGTGTGCTGCCTCCAGCCAAGTACCGGCAGCGATCGCTGTTGGGAAGGGCCCGCACTTATGATTTATAGTACGCTGTGATAATGTGTTTTGTGTGTGTGCTGCCTCCAGCCAAGTACTGGCAGCGATCGCTGCCGGGAAGGGCCCGAACTTATGATTTATAGTACGCCGTGATGATGTGTTCTGTGTGTGTGCTGCCTACGGCCGAGTACCGGCAGCGATCACTGCTGGGAAAGGCCTGAGCTAAGTATTAATAATTTGCCAATCAAGTCAATTGAAGAATGGAAAATAGCTGAATGGCATGTCGGGCGGCACTTTGTCAAGGCACATCCAGCTTTCCTGGGCGTCATGACCACGCCTCTATTCGCGACAAGCTTCCAGAATCTCAAAGTCCGTGACGGATGGCAACGGAATGCCAGGAAAGACAACGGAAAAAAAAACATCTTTACAAAAATTGGTGGCTGCAAACACCCCCTTGACAGACAGCTCCAGAGCCAAAAAACTGGAAGCTGACGTGGCATGAACGGCTACAGAAAAGCGGCCCCGGCAAAACAACAGAAAAGTGACAGACGGATTTTTTGTCTTGAAAAAAAATACAGAAGTAAAATAACAGAAAAAAATCTGAGCGGCCACGTCTAGCACGGATTGTATAATAGATATTTAATATAGACGGAACGGGGTGTGAGATGCACACCAAGCTGGGCACCGTTCAGGGTCAAGGCGCGTGGGACAGACCCACAGGGTGCGCCGCTAAGATTGGGCGAGAATGACGCTGGGATTAGTCAGGGTGACTCGCGGGACAAAACGGGGTTCACAGGAGGGGTTTGAATTCGAACATCTGAACATTATAAAGTTGCCACTCTGGCATGTGCCGGTTGGGCTGCCTAAACCCCGCCCTTGGATGGCTATTTAAAGCCATCCAAGGTGAACATTGTAATCGAAGTTCGCTGCGGTTCTGTGCCTTCGCCTCCACGCTCGAAACCGAGCTGCTGCCCGACCAATTTCGCTGAGCAAACTGCCTCCGGCAGTTTTGCCCCTTACACTGCGGGTGTGGGACCTGGTGGTCGGGCGGGTGGTTCCCTGTCCCGGGATAAGCCCCGCGTCATGTGTGAAGCGATTTTGGTCGTGTGTGACACGGCGAATCGGTATACGGTTCTTCGCATGTCGAATTCCGCTGTGCCAACCCCGAAGGGTCGTGCCATGTCTTGGCACAGATCCTTACAGTATTTTATATATTGCGGTATATTGCATTTTCACAATATCATATTTTGAGGGGTTGTTGGCCCTAGACATGGCCAATACCCATGCTCAAAGATGGCTTCGAAGCCACGAATTCGTACCACCTGCATTGTTGTTACTATCATTCCAGGTCCACTGACGGTGCCTCCAGCCCCTGTGGCCGTGTTGTGCACGCATCGCATGGCAAGGCCGGGGTGCCCCGTTTGTGGCCCGCACCCTCGCACAGGTTGTGCGGCACAGTAGGCCCGCCAGAGAGGTGCACCTTGGGCCCACCACGTCAAAAGTAAACGAGCGCCTTGGATAAATCCTGGATCGTGAAGATCAGGGAGGGCCATTCTGGCCATCGGGCGCAGCGACTCCCAAAATAGCACCGGACCAAAGCATGGCCGGCGGCAACTGCTTGACCCCACCACAATTAAGAACATTGTTAAACACAACGCCTGATGTATTGCACCTTAAAGATAATAAAACTCTCTCCAATTTTCATCAAAATCAAATTGTCTACTTTGCTAAATTGTTACACAATATTTCATCAGCTATTTCACCTTTGTTTTCACAAATTCTAGTCTCTATTGTCTCCCAAACTATTGCACAGGTCTGCCACCATAAATGCTATATTTTATCAAAATTTTGGGAGCATATCCCCTCTTTTTCCTTGCCTTTTATACTAAAATATTGTGCATAATATTCTGTTCTATCTCCTATCTACACTGGTTGCATTCTGAGAAATATTCTATAACGTTTCCCCAAGGCTTTTGTACTTTCATCATCTGGTTTGTTTCATATCTCCAAAGTGCCGCTTTGGGACCTATTGTACATGGACCTTGAGACCGTAAAATGCTTCCTTAAAAGTATTAGCAGCATTTTGTGTGGCCTTTGAATGTTTTTTAAATATCTCCATGTCACTCTTTTTCTTTTGATGCCCGGAAATGGGCTAGCCATGCTTGCTAACTGCTAGCCAATATTGCACAGATATTTTAGCATGCTCTTCACTTTTCTGCAACGTTGGGCGGTTGTCCATATCAAGTTGATTGGTCTATAGTGTAGTGACACGCAGTCAGGTGCCCTTTGTCGGTCATGAGCCTGTCATTGGGTGACGCGGCCCAATGACTACCAGCGAATTTAACAAATGGCTGGTGGTGTGAAGTCTTTGGCTCCTGGCGTGTTGCTTGGGGGTGCTTGTGAGGGGCTTTCGAATGTGCTCGCTCATGTGGCGGTAACCCACGTACCTTAGCCGCCAAACGGATGCAGACCAGGCCTGTCCTGCTGCAGAGCCGTAATTTGTTGGACCAACCTTCACAACGTGCTGGTGGGCACCAAATGCGGTCCCAATCGCTGGGAAACACTGCGGTCGCCTCCTTCTCTGCAGGCAAAACGGGATGCGGCACAGACACACACACGCACTGTCCGTGGACAGCTCGGAATCAGAGTCACAAACGCAGCAGCGATGGTGGGCCCAGAAAGAGAGTTGTTACAAGAATGTTCTGCGCGTATTTATACTTGAAAAAGGGTGTCCCAGTCCCCAGTCCTAGCCACCGTTCGAGAAGCCTCCCGAGCTGCAATCCCCCATACAGACCCCCCTGATCTTGTCCCCAAACGTCTCAAGTTCTCTAACACCAGTCCTCAGCCTGGTACAACCCATCATACACTCCATACAACCGGCTCAATTCAGTCCCCAACAAGTGATTCCAGTCCCATGCAATCATGCTCAGTTCTAAGTATGTCCCTCCATGACGATCAAGTACTCAAATCAATCATATCAGTAAAACACGATGAAGTCGTAGTGCCCGTTGGTACATTCCTTAGTTCCAGCCTTGACACTCCATCAAAACGAACGTACACAACTAAAATGGATTACTGATGGTGAATTCCCGGCTCAGTTCTCCACTCCCAGCTCAGGGCTCCATTCCCGGCTCAGTTTCATGTAAGGGGGTCATACATTGGGGCTTGCGGCAAGGGCAGCTCTCTTCAGATGGACTCCTGGACAATTCAATGGAACAGGACAATTGGTACGCCTTTAATGTACTAATTCTGGGCTGTGCTCAGCAACTCAAGCAAGGTTGCAGCAGATCAGATCAACCAATCAATCAACTAATAGTACACAACCTCAAACTGGTCATATCACTCAAAAAAATCGCCACACTCACCCCAAGGTCCCAAAACCATACCGAAACCCCTTCGCCCGTCGGTCGCATCGTCGACAGGGACGTGGCAGCTGATGCGGCGCACGTGCCTTTGCGCTCGCCCTTGCCCCCCTCCCCCCCTTTTTTTTCGAGCTTCGCCCCCAGCCCACCAGCGCAGGCACCGCTTTTCTGTGCCGCCTCTAGCCCGCACCCAGGTCCGCCCGCCCGCGCCGCGCCAGCACCCGCCTCACCCGCCAATGGCGTCCGGGCGGCAATGAACAACCCCAGAGGGTCCCTGACCAGCCACTGACCGATCCGCTCCGGCTAGAAAGCGGGTCCGCGGATCCCGCAGCCTCACACACGCGCTGACAGGCGAGAAAAAATTGGCCCAGGCGAGATGGCCAAGTTCGGCGTCCAGACGCACAACGCCTTCGCGCTGCTGGATGACGATGAAGAGACAGACCTGGACGCCATGGTGGCGCGCCGGGCGCAAATGGCGAGCGAGGAGGGGGGCGAGGAAAAGGCGGCCGAGCCGCCAGGAGTGAAGCAGGGGCCCCAGGAAGGTGGGCGGAGGGCCGTTGAGCTCCCTGCTCAGCTCAGTTTGCCTTTTCTTCCCATTTTGTCGTTTCGAAGGCCTGGCTGGGGATGTTTGTGTTGAGAGATGGGTTTGCCAATTCTGGTGCTGGTTTGGCTTCGCGGCACCCGGGGCGGCGAACAGGGGCATCGGCAGGTTTCTCCGCCCATATCCTTTTGGGATGCTCGAAAGAAGATCTGTGTTTTCCGGGTTTGCGCTTATTCAATAATGCGGGGGCTGGTTGGCATCTTGCGGCCACTCGCGGTGGCGCAGGGAGGCATCAGCGCGGCGGCATGCCGCTCTGCCTAGATCCTTTTGTTACCTTTCTTTCGGATGTCTGAAAGGGGATGTCTTTATTCCTGGTTGGCGCTAATTCAACAATTCGGGTGCTGTTTGGCATTTTGCAGCCGCCCGCGGTGGCGAGGAGCGGGACCAGCGCGGAGGCAGGGGGAGGGGGAGGGGCCACCGCGGCCGCGGCAGGCATCCCGGCGGCAGGGGCTACGATCGGGCTCCGGGATGGGATGAGGATGCGGGAGGCGGAGAAGTTGCCCCCTTCGGGCACGACAGCGCCGCGCCTGGGGGCAGGGGCGGCGGGAGGGGCGGCCGGGCCGGCGGGCGCGGCGGAGGACGGGGGCGGGGCCGCGAGGGGGGCTACCGTGGCGGGCGGCGGGAGTACGATCGCCATGACGGGACCGGAAGAGGGTGAGGGGGGCTGGGGTGGGCGAGGGCGGGCGGGTTGGCAAATAGTGTTGAAAAATGGAAGGGAAATGCGATCGGCGGTGCTTGGGGGAGGGGAGTGCAATCATGGAGCGTATTTGGAGTGCGGTGGGGCGGTGTGTGTGTGTGTGGGGTGGGGTGGGGTTGGGGGGGGTAGTGGTGGAGAGGCGGGGGTAGCTGGTTGGGGCGGGCTGCGTCGGCGGGAGGTTGGATCGGAAGGAATTGCAGTTCGGCGGTGCAGGGTTGTTTCGGCGCCGACAATGGCTACGTTTGCTGATCCTGCTTTTTGATTGAAACTGCGCGGCAGCCTGAGGCACTGGCGGCGCCTTGGAAGGATGGCCCCGCCGAAGGGTTCGCGAACGGGGCCTTCCCGCAAGCGGCGCTGTCAACTGCATTCGCCGTCCTTGGCTGGTTCCCAGTTTGGACTGTGTGTCTGCGCCTTGTTCTTTCTCCTTGTCTCGTTTTCGTAGGCGCGCTCAACGCCCCTTGGCGCCCTGTGGCGCTGGTTTGCAGGCACGAGACTGAGAAACGTGGCGGTGCGGGAAAGGGCAACTGGGGCGCACCGGTTGAGGACCCATCCGGCTGGGAAGTGGAGGCGCCTGTCAAGGGCGGCTGGGGAGACGACGACTTTGGGCAGAAGGCTGACGAGAATGGCGAGATCAGCCAGAGTGCAGAGGCCGCACCAGCGTAAGCGCCCTCTGAGTTGCCACTTCCATTGCACATCTTGAGACTTGGGAGAGGATGATTTTTGCTTAACGCGCGTTGGAGGGGTGCTTGAGGCGTGATTGCACTTGCAACATTCGCACACGTTTATGCTTGCGTCCCGAATACATGTTTCTGGGCACTTTACAGTTCTTCTTTCCTTCGTGCATCCAAAAGCATCTATTTTATCTTTGTTGGTGTGGAACGGACTTGTCAGACGACGGCGGTCCAAAGGGCCACCCAGTGCATAATTTTGTGTCTCTTTAGATCGCTGACATGGAATTGTGTGCATTGTGCAGCCCCACAGAGGTGAAGGAAGGTGAAACTGGTGAAGGGGCTGAAAAGCCAGCTGAGGGCACAGAACAGGCAGCTGAGCCAAAAGAGGAGGAAAAGGAGGTACCCTTATCTAACGTGGCACATATGGGCCTGATGAAGCTTCTGGCCCTCTATGCTCTGTGTTTATTGCATGTCTGCTGTGGGTTGAGAATCGTGCATGAACTGCGCCACCATGTACTCTGTATGCTCATTGTCACCTGCAAATATGTGTGCACGTCGCATTTCTGCCGGTTGACTGGGCCTCAGTCCCCTCCAGCTTGCCATGGGCTAAGCCCCCTGTGTGCCAATAGGGGCTGTGCTTTCCCACTGGACTCTTCAGAATGTTTGTAGCATCTCTGGGCAATGCTTCGATGACCTGGGACTCAGTGCTTGGCAATGGGGCCTGAAACGCAGCATCGATCTGTGTGCAGTGTGCATTCGCTGCTGATGTCGACTAAGAATTGGAACATTGCCATCTGCTGCCCATTTTGTCTACACCGCAGGCACCTGTGGAAATGGCCGTGCCGTGTGGCGCAGCTCCAACTTTGTCCTGTTTTTCGTGCCTGCAGACGTTGACATTGAAGGAGTATGAGGAGAAGGTTCTCAAAGCAAAGACACTCACCAATGTTGTGCAACGCCCTGAAGTGGACATGGGGCAGTTTGAAGGCCTGACTGTCTACGAAAGAACTGGCACTGAGGAGGGCATGGATTCGATGGAGCTGCCAAAGGCGCCGCCGAGGAGGACCAAGAGCAAAGGAGACAAGAAAGGGAAGAAGGAGGTGAGTTGTAGGAATCTTTGACCGCAGTTTTGCCCTCTGGTTTTGTGTGACTTGTGGCATACAGCTCACTGTGCACACTTCCACGTCAGTGCTTGCATAGCTGTGGTTTTTGTTACATGCATGTTGTTGTGTGTCGATGGAGAAGGGAATATGTACAGGAGTTTTCTCTCCTCAAGATCAAGCCTGTTGCTCTGTCAGTTGGCATTTGGTTGGACGTCAGCTGGTTAAGGTTTCAATGCACGTGGCATAGACCTGTAAGCCAGGCATGCAGCCAAATGGCGTGCCCATATGCAGAAAGAGCCCCTGATTGCTTGTTGTCAATGGATTGTGGATCGGTGCAGAACAAGAACGCATCGCTATAACATGGTGCTGTGAGTTCTTTGACCGAAAGACACAGTATTGTGGGAGTTTGGTAAGAGTGCTCAACCTCTCTGCGATTGATTGCAGCATTGAGCAAAGAGTTTGCAGCAGTTCCTGAGCGCCATGTCATGCCACTGTCTGGCGTGTGGTTGAGCAGTTTGGGTGCCAGGGTGTGGTTGCGCATACAGGGCTGGCCATAAGTCGCCCATATGAAGCCAACTGAAAGCAAATGGAAGGAGCTGCATGTTATCGGCCTTTTCATCGATTGATTGGGCCATCTGATTACAAATTCTTGTGCAATTCATTCCACTTCGCTGTTCCCATCATACTTGGACACTTCTGTGCCAGATTCTACAGCACGAAACACGTGGTGGTCTGCTTTTAATACATCGACGAGTCAGTGAAGCGACGTGTGACCTGACCCATGTTCCTCCATGTGGAAGTGAGGAATGGCAATACAGTCGGCATGCAGTGCGAGGCAGACTCTTGCAAAGTTATGAATTTTTGCTTGCCCTTCATGAATGAACTGTAGTCTCGCCTTCAGAGGCTCATGATTTGTGCCCCCTTGGGCTGATCCCTCTTGGCCTGCACAGGTTGTGCCGACTAGCTTCCGCGTGGGTGAGCCCGTGCGGCGAGGCCGAGGGGGCCGTGATGGTCCAGGCCGTGGTGGCCGCGGTGGCCGATTCGACAGGGATTCCAGAACCACCTCCGGTGAGGACATGGCCCCCCGTGAAGGAGGCGATGGCGATGAGGGAGGCCCCAGCGGGTACCAGGGCGGCAGAGGCTATGGCGGGTATGGCGGCTATGGAGACGATCAGGGTTACGGAGGCTACAGCGGTGACCGCGGGTATGGCAGGGGTGGCTATGGGCGTGGACGTGGACGCGGGCGCCGGGGCGGCGGCTACGGAGGCGCCTTTGAGCACAAGCAAGAGTCCGTGGATATGGCGGACACGTCCGCGTTCCCTTCCCTAACGGCATAGGGCGCCGGCCAAGGGGGAAGTGTGGCGGTGCAGGTTGTGGCCATGGCAGCAATGTCGTGGGAGGGTTGAGGGAGGGTTGGCGGGGGTAGGCAAGGGGGCTGGGGACCTGTGCCGCAGTGGATGCTGGGTTGTGAGAGAAGGGAAGGGGTGGCGCGGCAGGCGTAGCCTGGCCAACTGGACTGGCGCCACGCTGTCTGGATGCTGAACTTTGTGCAACGTGTTGTTTTGGGAACCCTCTGGCGCTGTGCTGCCAGGGCGCGTGTGCTCTTTTGTTTGAGGAGTTGAGCGCCTGTCGAAGGAACTGCCGCGGCTGGCTTCAGGCGGCCAAGGCCTCTTTTTCTATATTTCGAGAAGACCTGCGGCTGTTGGTGGCTGGAATCTATGCCAAGGGTGTGCTATGTGATGTGTATGTATCGCGTTTTGTTTGGGTCACTGGAGCAGGGTCCCGATGCTTGTGGAGCCACGCCTGAAAACGCTTCGGGGTTGTGGGGTGTGGGTGGGTGGACGATTGGGGCTTAGATCAGGAGAAATGGCCATCCGCGAACCGCGATTTTGAACGAGAGCCGGTTTGCTCTTGGTGCACGGGACCTGCCAGACAAACGGTGCAACCATCAGGCGGCGCGGGGCATCGCACACAAGTGTTTGTGTCTTGAAATTTGTGTACTATGGGGCTCAGGTGTGCAGGGGCTGGTGGTGGCTGCACCCCTCCATGACTAGACAAGGTTGCTGTTGCGGCGGTCCAGAGGCTCCCTACGTGCGGGCCTGACGCTACGGTGACATTGTTTTCGTTCAGCGCAAGCGAAGTTTGAATAATAACAAGTGATTAGTCGCTGCGCATGCACTGTTGGAGATGCTGTGGCATGGCCCAAACGCTTGTCACGGCTCAGTGATGTGTTCGGCTTGTGGGGTTTGGGCCACGCCACGAAACCCATCCCGACTCTGTCAATATCCTAAAGATGCTCACCGGGGGCGGCAAAAAACCGTCGGGGATTAATGGGCCCCACCTTGCAGTGAACCCGCCCGCGCCTTCCACGTGCGTCAATGCCATCCACGCCCATATCACCCCCGTTAGGATGGGGCCGCAAAACATGAACTCGGAGGACAAAACCCACCACAGGAAACCCACAGGCTACGTCGCCTCAGGGCGATTTTGGCTGTGAAGGACAAAGCATGCGGACATGCAGGAGCACGTGGCTCTCCTTGCGCTACGAGGCGGCGACTTGCCCGCTAGATTTTGGGGCCCTTCGGCTGGGTGAGACAGGCCGTGGGAGGACGGGCCCGATCACTCGAGGAAGATTGCCTGAAATGACTTGTGGCGAACGGGGTCTGCACCTCGTTGCTGCAGCGGGCTCGATCAGGGATGCTGCCGCTGGTGGGGTGAGGTGGCCGAAGTCTTGCAAGGATCGAGGACAGGGCAGGGGTGCTGATCTGCATCTGGGATCTGGATTTGCACACCTGGGTGGTGTCCCTGTTCGGGCCTTACATCTGTCCCGTTGCAAGGGACGATGCTGCAGGCACTGTGATCGGGCACCGAATCCGCCTTCCAGAGCCAACACCCATCCGAACAGCAACCAAAACCAATGCAGAATCAGACTAGGATCCCACACCAGTAGCAAGCACAGCACACTGCTAGCAGACTTTGCGATCGGGAAGGTACTTGCTCAGCCCCCTTTGCGACTTTTTGACAAACGGATTCAAGCACCCTGTGCCAGCTGCGCTGTGCCTTGTATTGGTGAAGAGGACCCACAAGCTTGTGAAATACATGAGAGCCGGCAAAAGGCAGCACACATTCGTGCATATGTGCTACAAATTCGGAATGGGGGGCCACAAGGGAACCACACCTGTACAGAAACTTGCTTCCTTCCATCAGATTTGACAATCATATCCTGGCACCTACAACCCACGAAGGCGTTGGATGGCAGTCGGGAGAAACGAACCCCAAGCTATGCTACCGGCAAGAGTCCTTGACCACCCTGCCAACAGCTGCCACGCAGTGCAAACAAAACAAAGGGATGTGGGGAGGGGCTCACCAGTTTCACATCTGAGTGCGGTAAGTCCAAGCACCCGATCCAAAGCAAGGCAACCCTGGACAAAAGGGAAGCATGCAAAGCTCAACTGGTTTCCAGCGGCTCAGCCACTGCTGCTGGCTGGCAGGCACCTAGGTGGTCATGGAAGGAGGGGGTGCAAGTGGACAGGCACACACAATACCTTAAAGGCGCGAGCCTTGCCACAAAGTGTGCCACACAGTGTGTGCGTGTGTCCACATTTCGCATCAATTCCAACGGGAAGGCACAACACACACCACCACACCATGCACTGAATGAACACACGACCAAGGCAGCCAGGCGCCAGTGGAGCATCTGCTTCTACGCGAGCGCCCATGTGGTCCCACCATAATCGCCAGCACAGCCAGCCCTTCCTTGACACGATGCCCCTCTGCTCGTCCAGCCTTCCTTTGGATTTTCCGCAGCCCACCGGCAACTGTTTAAATTTCCCTCCCCGGTTTCACACCCACCCAGCCCGAAGCATTTCCCAGACACGCCCCAGACACTCCTATCTCCCCACTTCCCCTGCCTACGTCTCTGGGCCGCGACAAGCCGCCCTGCCCACCCCTCCCCACCACCATGGGGCGCCCAGGCAAGCCAATCACACACGCGCTCGCCCATCACACACACTCCCTGCCCCTTCACACACAGATCCTGCGATTCTAACAGAACACCGCCCGTCTCTCTGCGCAGAGGACAAGATGCACACCTGCGAACGGGTGGAGGGCAGGGGGGGTTCTCCCAACAAATGCACCCCACGGCCCCCCCTGCCGAATCAGCCCATCGCGAATTTCCTGCACCACTCCCTGGCGGTATCCTCGTAGCGCTGCCGGTCCGTCTTATAGATGTGCGCGATTTCGGGCACCAGGGGGTCGTCCGGGTTGGGGTCTGTGAGCAGGGAGCACACGGACAACAACACCTGCAAAAGCCGGTGCGCGGCAGCGAGCGGCCCGTCAGAAGCAGCCAAGGCGGTTGGCGCGCCCGTCGCGACGCCAGGAAATCTTCCCATCACCAAAAAGGCAGGGGGGGACGAGGCCGGACAGAGACTCAGCAACTCGGGCCGGCGGCGGCCAATCGAATCAGCTCCATCAACGGCCACGGGTCGCCCCGGCCAACCCCGGATGGCTGCCAGGAGCGTTCGCGGCCCCAAATCCGCGGTGGACGCACCTTGGAGATCGTCAGCGCGGGGCTCCACTGCTCCTTGAGGATGTCCAGGCAGATGCTGCCCTGGCCGTTAACGTTGGGGTGGTACACCTTGGTCTGGAAGGTTACCTTCGGCGGCTTGAAGGGGTAGTCCGGCGGGAAGGTTATGTTCACGAAAAACACGCCGCCAGCATAAGGGCTGTCAGCCGGGCCCATGATCGTCGCCTGGGGGGGTGAGGAGGCGAGATGAGCGACCAAGGCCGGAGAGTATCCCACCGCTGCTGCGCTTGGCGTCTTCGCAGCAGCGGCGGTGAGGCAACGCAGCGGAGGGGGGCATTGCGATGAGCGGGGAGCAAGGAGGGGGTCGGGGTGGGGGATGCGGTGGGGCGAACCTGCCAGTGGAAGAGGTCATCTCCAGCGGGGCCGGCGCTGCAGGACGTTGGGGGGTCCTTCTGGAGATCCTGTTTGCGACCGGAGCCGCAGAAATCAGTCCCGATGCGCAGTGGGCGGCTGTGCGGCAAGTCTGAAACACACAGCCCCGCGAAAGGCCGAACCAGGCCAGGCGACAGTTGGGTGCACAGAGGCAGAGAGGGGCCGGGGGGCCGGCCTATCGGCGACCGGGGTCTACGGCCAGCACGCACTTGGAGCTCCTTCTGGATCCGCTTTGACGCCATCGCGGGCCTGGAGCAAGAGCTGGTGGCGGCGGCAGGCGGCTGAGTCGCTGTGGGCGGGGGGTGCGGACGGTAGGAGCCAGGCGGAAGGCACGGGGCCGGAGCGCTGGAGGAGGTTGGGTAGTGGGATGGCACTTCTAGGTGGGTGGATGAAGGGGGCCAGGGGACAAGGGGTTGGAACATGTTGGGAGGGGGAAGCGCGATGGAGAAAGCTTCTAGAATGTGCCGGAGCGGGAATTTCGCCTTTGGGTTCGTTGGGCGAAATGCTGCTGTTGAATGTGCTGTTCTTGGTTTTGCTCCAAAATATTACACCGCATTTCAGCATGGTGCTTCCCCGATCCCATCGTGCTGTGGTGTTAGCAAGCCAAACATGAGCCACACAACGGTGGGCGACAAAATCGAACCCTAGACTACTGTTGCTTGAGCACAGCCAGTCGAAGGGGGTGCATTCAAGAAGTCATGGCGGGTGGCTGGGTTTCAGCGCAGACATAAACACGTCGGGAAAGGCATATGTGAGTTGTGTGATGCGGCAGCCCTCAGAGCCACTTCGAAGATTTTGAATCCTTTTCGGACTTTCAAATCTTGGATAGCCAACTTTACAAACTTTCCTTCTACTCTTAGTCATTTGATAATTCCATGGCTTACATTCAGCCATAAGTCACGGCCAACAAACCCTTGTACCGTAGATCATGGAGGATAGCACGGGGGGTGTTGAATAGTGCGGGGGCCTTTAGACAACGCCCCCGGCGTTATCAAACATGGCCAGTGTTGCGGAGTGCAGGGGGTATGCATGATAGCGCGGGGGGCCACTATTCACTTCAACATCACGTACAACCACAATGCAAAAGCATTTTATCACATTCTAACATCTCGTTGCATATGCTAGCACCCCAATGTTATCAGGTTCACTCTTATCAAATATTGTCATGGCATTCCTCCTCCAATCAAACACCTTGTCCTCAACATTCTCAGTATGTAGCTCTGTACTACCATCACTCAAACCAAGGCCATGGGCATCTCCAGGCTGTCTCTAGTGCAGTGCGACGTTCCAATAGCTGGTATTGGTTGGCGCTGTGATTGGCGCCTTATGGTGTCTTATGTAATGCTGTGTAATATGCTACATTGGCCAGGCGCCGGTTCGCTTTGCCAATCAATCTGGCAACGCGGGTGGCGCGGCATAGTGCAGCGATCTGTGGCGTCCTTTCAACTTTTTGGCGCTGGTTTTGGTTGCTGCCGTGAATGGCGCCTTACGTAATGCGCCAAGTTGGTGGGGCCCCGGCACGCTTTGCTGCCGGTGCGAGGCCACCGTGATAACACGGGTGGGCGCTACTGAGTCAGCGACTTGATGACAAACATGAGGGGCACGGAAGATAGCGCCCCCCGCATTACTAACGTCAGCCCTGGGGGGGGGGAACTATGCTCCGTGGTTTACGGCACATTGCATGCGGTGGCGGACATGGAAACACCCACCTCACAATTGGCAAATGTTCCCAGATCATATTTCTGCACAGCGCCCATTTGCATGAAAAGCAAAAGCCATCTGGAAAACCGAAATTGGTGGTGGCTTCATCGGCATCTATTGCATACAGGAAACGAATGCAAGACGTGTCTTGATTGATCTCGATTTGATCGAGCTCTTGTTGGCAAATATAAACACCGACTCAACTGCTGAATCTTCCGCAGGTCAGGTGCTCCGGATCGGCCAAAGGCCAAGGAGACGTGGGCTTCATCCAGTTGCATATCACGGGAAGGCGGCCAGAAAATTCAAACGCGATACGCACACATGGTTCTATACCATGCCCACGCAGCACTCCAGCGACAGGTGAGGGCACGTAACTCCGCATCATGCAAAGTTCAGCATCTTCTGCTCGTCCAAGAGATGTACTGGTGGAAAATTTGGTCGCAAATTGTGACCACAATGTGAAGGGAAACTTAACAAGTTGTCGTAGATGTCCAAATGTCATCTGGAGTATTCCTGTTAGATAACCTTACAATTTTTGCAGGTTTTCCACTCTTGTCATTACGTAGTTATTAGGGTTCTTCATGCATGATGCATGGCGAGTTCGAGCGATTCCCATGGTTAGGCACAGATTGCAAGCCGATTATTCTTGGCCCTCAGGAGCGACATTGGCATCAAATTCTGACATAAATGGCGGAAATGCTGCGCACAGGAAAATGACATCATGCTCAGGTGGTTGATTGATGAATATGTGAAGGCTCGATACATCAAATGGCATCTGGTATTCTGGATACCCTGCGAGATGCTGTATGTCCCGAGAGGCATGAACCGATTCCTGCCTCTTTCGGCGGGAACACATTCAAGGGTTGCTCGGAAAGCCATAGTTGAGGTATTTTGGCCGTCCGCAAAGGGCAGATGAGGGAATCCAGCCCACCATGAATACACCCCTCATAGACGTTACAGTGTTGCTCACACTGTTTCTTGCTAAGGCCTCATTATGTCCCCATCCGACTGCCGCTCTTTCCAAGATTGGCCTTTGGCTGGCGTTCAGCGACAACAACCCATTCGGCTGTGGGCCTCCTTCCAACTGTTTCCATGGACCCCACATCCAGGGCTCCATGGTGGCGCTCTTGCTTGCAGTATTTCTCGCAGCTGACGTCATTCGCATTAGAATTCTCCGTCGCCAACTTTCCTTAAGTTCAGATGTGGAAGCTCATCACCTGCATGAACCTTTCCATGGAAATCCTGATCGACTGATGGCTATGGCCCGCATGGCCATGTGATATTTTGGGCCTTGCACACGGTTTCTGGGAAGGCTTCACGTTGGTTTGAAGTTAATACAGGTTGTTGCCGTGTGCTCCTTGGGTGCACTCATTCTGGATTGGCGTGTCAATAGGCGCCATTGATATTAATTGTATTTGATACACTCTGGTCACAATATAACTGCTGTACTCTATCTTGTCTGTTATTGCAATTGCGAAAGCTCTGATTCTCGCCGGGACCACGCAGGGCTGCACAGCACTGTGCGAGACACCGATCCCTGGGAGCCAACTCCTTCCATTCTTTACCGAGGGCCTTCCCAATCCGAAATCGAGAACCCAACTCGCCTCCATCCCTGGTCTTCGCGCTTTCGTGGGTAGCAGTCCCACGGCAGCGGTCGTGAACAAACTCTGTGGATTCGAACAGAAACATGTGCTTTGGGCGATTGCCCGACATCGCCAGTTTTTGTGCAAGGGGTTCTGCTTTGTCATGTGCCAAATGTAGTTACGACGAAGACGTACGCGCCCCGGCAATCTTCTTCCAGGACACCGATGATGTTGAGATCCCCGTTCTGAACTTATTCTCGTGTGGCACTGCAACGCCCAAGCACAATTGATGACCCTTAATTTGGCATGCGACAGCGCCGCTGACCTTGATGCCATCAGATGTGTTCATTGGGGCTCTGACTTCCAGCCCGCTTGTTGGGCTTTGACCATCAATGGGTGGCACAAGGCCCACATCTCTTCTGTGAGGACGGTGTTCACGCTTGAACTATTAGATATGTGATGTATACACATTTTGGAAAAAGGGAATGCATGTCAGCGGAGGTTGGCACCATTCCAACAGCCCCAAGGGGCTGGCACGCTCAGACACAGGCAGATCAATTACGGACCCCTTGGAACCGGCCATTAGACAGCGAAGGTTTAGCGATAGCCTGGGTCTCAACGGCACCTGCCGAAGGGAGCTGGCTGCACGGCCTCCGCCCTAGTGGACAAGGGCCCCAAGAAAACCGGATCGAAGGAACATGTCCGTTTGCAAACAGACCGATCGACTATGTGCAGAGCGCACAAGTGTGTCTGCACTTGCAGTGTCCTCAGCATTCTACTAATTCATTACATTTGCAACCAATTGTACTGAAGCTCTGAAGAAATTAGACCCCCCGTTAGTCCGCAATAAACACCTGTTGCACCAATGGAGCTGTCTCTTTCTGTCCCCAGCTTCAGCACGGTTCATGCGGACAACATTGGCAGCGGCCCTGCACAGGCATGGACTGTGAGGCTGTGAACCCATTTCAAAATCCGCTCTCACCGAACAGAGTCACAGCACACTTTCAAAAGCTTCGAAACTCACCGCAATCCAGCCAGCAACGTCAACAACGCTCACTCAGAGCAAGTCAGCCCGCAGTCCCAGGTCGGCTGGCTAAGAAAAGCCCATCGAGCAGTCTTGCCTGACGGCTGTGCACCATCTCCAAACAATTTAATACCCCACACCTGAGTGCTGACAAATCCTAGTCCAGGAATATCCAAACGGCAGGGCATCTGAGCTCATGCTGGGCTTCCCTGGCTCTGCCTTGGAAATGACACGCCAGTGCAGTGATCCAAATGCCATCCACCACACAGCCAACACCAAAAGCGCCACAGGCCTGGCTGCACAGTGCCCAAGGGAAGCCTCATCCCAAACAAAAGGACATTCGACACTACTCCAACAGACCCGAAACTCTTCATTGCCCGCCAGGCGGGGCACCCTGGTAGGGACCGGGGAATCCAGGATAGCCAGGGGCCCCACTCTGGTGTGGGGGAGCATTTGGATACCCGGGAGCACCCTGTGCCGGTGGCGCATTCGGGTAGCCAGGAGCGCCAACCTGTGGTGGTGGGCCGCCGCCTTGTGGCGGCGGCCATGCGTACCCTTCCTGTGCCTGCGGTGGCGCGCTGGGCGGTGGGCAGCCATCCGCGGCGCCCTGTGTGGGCTGGGCACCCGGGTAGGCGCGACCCTGCGGCGGCCACTGTGGATAGCCTCCCTGTTGGCCCTGCATGGGGGGGTACCCCCCCTGAGGAGGAGGATAACCGCCAGGGGCTCCAGGATAGCTGCCTTGTGGTGGGTAGCCGCCTTGTGGTGGGTAGCCACCTTGTGGTGGTGGGTAGCCGCCTTGTGGTGGCGGGTAGCCGCCTTGTGGTGGGGGGTAGCCGCCTTGTGGTGGGGGGTAGCCGCCTTGTGGAGGTGCATAGCCACCTTGTGGTTGGTAACTGCCGGGTGCACTTTGGGGTGGATAGCCACCCTGTTGAGCGGGGGGATAGCCTCCAGGACCAGCCTGGGTGGCCACAGCGGCAGGGCCATGGCCCTGAGGGTGGGCTGGGCCGGCTTGGCCAGGAAGCCTGACATCCTCCACTGTGCATTCCACCCAAAGGTCGCCGGACACGGCCGAGGTTTGGTGCTTGCTCTTCTTGCCCTTGGTGAGGGGGATCCACCACTCATGGCGGCCGGGGCCACGGGCGAAGAGGGTGGCCGCGGGCAGGCGTATGGCACCCATGAAATCCTTGCCTGAGAGCTTGTCGTAGTCCCACACGGTCATTTTGATGGCCTTGGACTCCGACTCCAGCACGCTGCCGAGGTCCATGGCCCTCAGGTTCCAAACGGGGTCCAGGGTCTTTGTCATGACCTCGGACTGGAGCTTGAGCTTCTTGTACTTGATCTGTGCACAGTCCCAGATGCGTTTCAGACGGATTTGCATTAATAAGTACTGGCAAACACTGGCAAATACAATAATAAGTATGATAAGTGTTCACAAGTACTTCTGTGTGAAGTAATCAAGAGTAGTCAAGGATTACTGTTGCATCCTATGGAGATCAACAGACATGAAGCAAACACTTTGCTCGCACCCATACAAGGTGATGCAAACAAGCCTTTGCCACACCTGATAAGAACATAATGTTATGTTCAAACCCACACCATTGCAAACATGCACCCCTGCTTCTAAACATCCCTATGAGTACATGTTTTCTTGATCTTCATGTTGCTTGTGATGTGTGCTCATCCTGCGCAGGGAGATCCTACATAACCTTTCACAGGAGTCCCACACACACATGCTTAGGAGGGTGTGCCCTGTTGTTTGACCTACTGATGTTCAACAAATCACATGCCCCTTGCTTCCCTGGTGTCAATCCTCACGTCGATGCCATATTATAAATGGCATCAACTACGTAGGAACCCCACCCTTGCCCCTTAACTTTTCCATCTCTGGGAGAAAAAGAAGCCACCATCCAGAACAATGGACAACACCAGCTGACAGATTCAAATGCGTGTTGCAGTCATTGCGATGACTGTGGAGATGCAGTGGAATGTGCACGACACATGACACAATGTGCGTGATTGTCTTGCAGTAGAATGTGTGCGTCAACTTAGCCTTGGAAACGTGCAGGCCAAGCAATAGCATACATCTGCCACTGTGTGCTAATTTACGTATCAGAAATCTGCAAGAAAATTGCCAATATGTGTAGACGACATGCTGCCAGGAAAGTGCAGCAATGCCCTCCCCTTGCATTCACCAGGAAAAGGTCATATCCATAATTATTTTCTTGCAAGTGTTCAGCCTCATCCACCAGTTGCAACACTGTGCTGCACATTGCATTACATCTGTCAGAAAGCACATTCTTCAAGCAACAGTTCACAAGACAACAAAAGCAAAGCAAAGAACAAACATGCATCAAAAATACTCTCCAATGCAACAACTAACGAACCCAAGCATAAACTTCGATGGTGCATCCATCTGAGACAGCCAACTAAGAGGCTAGTTTGCAGTCACCTTCACAAACGGATCTGAAGAACCCTTCTTCTTGAACACACCGCCACGATCCTTGGCCACCAGGTTTCTGCCTTTCACCACCCGCAGGGTGATGTGTCGAATGCCAGGCTCCCGGGATGGGCACAGTGACAAGGTCGCCCTCATGGCCTCCGCATTCTTGATGACATCTTCTACCGTCCGGCCGGGCGCAGGCGACCCAAGGGCCGTGAAGCACCAGTAGGCGCCCTGGCGTGTGAGCATGCCCAGCAGCATCGCTGTGCCCTGCAGTTCCGTCAGGTTGTAGCGAGCCATCTCGTGGTTCTTGTGGCTCGGGTTGGCGCTGACCATGCGCACGTAGGCCGAGCGCACCTGGAGAGGGTGTGACAATGTGTTTACGCTGCGTCCTTTCCGTCTTAGGCTTTGCAGCGGCTTGGAGTTTAGGTAGAGGGTACACGAACTGCTAAACACTAACTACTAAATAGACTACCATTTCATGCAAAAGAAATACAGAGTTTATTGGATGCCTACCCAGGGGGGCACACAGGGAGATCGTCATGTTCCAGGCATTTTAATCGGTCAAACTGGATGTTTCTGCTGCAGTGGTTCGTGGTGTCCATTGTTTTCGATGTTTTCACATTTTTGATCTGAACATTCCAGCACAATGCAAAGTTAATCTGTTCTGTTGTTGCTCTTCTGCCCATGGATTTTCTTGAAACCAAGTCCACTAGCAGTTTGACCAGCTACATTACACATTGGTTTCCATTATTGTCACGATGCCCACAGATGACCACTGTTCCAACGGGAATGCAGCTGCAGCTGTTCGTGAATAGCAAGGTTCAATTTCTGGCCTTGAGGGATCCAAGCCGAATGCCACTGTTGAATTGTTAACGACTGTGTACATGCTGTGCATTACAGCATTGTGGGCATGGGCATCATTCTTGGGATGCATTGCATTCAATACAAGGCTGGCCTCCTAATCCAATGGGTTCAAACAATCTTGCTGCCAGCAACAAGAAGACCAACCCCAGCAGAACAACATTTCAGAGTGGTAAAATTGTGGTTGCAGTGTACAGCAAGTGCTTGCAAGCGTCCTGCAATGCACAGCAGTGCAAAGTTTTCGACACAACAACTGTTTGGTTCAAACAATCTTGCTGCCAGCAACAGGAAGACGAACCCCAGCAGAACAACATTTCAGAGTGGTAAATTGTGGTTGCAGTGTACAGCAAGTGCTTTGCAAGCGTCCTGCAATGCACAGCAGTGCAAAGTTTTTGACACAACAACTGTTTGACGTTGCAGCTTTTGGCGACCTCAAAGTCTTTCCTATATATGGTGGCAGGCACTGTGCTGAAAGCTGATGCGTTCAGTGCACTGGAACCTGCTTCCCTACTTCACGATTGATCGATTCATGAACCCCGAGCAGCTCACCTGGCTGAAGCTCATGCCAGGCGTGAACACGCAGACTGTAAACAGCAAGTAGTGGATGTCCAACGGCAGCTTCTCCAAATTCACAGTGATGACCTCATCGTCACCGCCGCCCTCCCCCGTCCTGTCGTCCCCTGAGTGTTTCACTGCGCCATTGTCGCTGGTGAGCTTCTTCCACCACACTGCGTCCACAGGCGTCTGGCTTTTGTTGAAGAGGGCGACACTGCCGTCCACGTCACATCCAGCTTTCCAACCCAGTCCCATGAACACCCCCTTCACCTAGATGTTCAATAGGAACAAACAAACAATGTGGATGCGGCACATTCTCCACACTATGTATGATCCATATTCTGTGCCTGCTGTGCAAATACCTTGTGCCATCGTTGCAAGACACAGCAGGGCCACTGCACTTTGTAGTTGAACATGACCACAATTCAAGGAAATCGAACAGAGGAAAGCGTGGGATTGCAGAAGGTTTCTTGGCTTGCAGTTGGAACGCATGGCAGAGAACCCTTGGATCAAATACTGCAAGATGAGGAGCAACAATTCCCTGGGCTACAATGATATCTTGTTATGGCATTTGTCCATTGGCATCTTTCAAGGAATCAGACTGCACAATATGAGGTGCAAAACTCTCTGCAAATGGAAGCTGATTACAATGTCCAGGATGTTATCAGGCCCACAGGTAATACATGAATGAGCTCATCCAAAACGAATCCAATTCTGGGCTCTCCTGAAGGTCATAGCTTGTATGAACAACTTCGAGGCAATATAATCAGGATGTGCATAGTGTCCTTCATCGCCATGTGGGTCCCTGGCGTTGACTTTTCAAAACCCATGCAGGTGTTGCGTTCCCCTCACCTTGCCGTCCAGAACGTACTGCTCCTTTGCCTGCAGGGCATAATACTGGTTGTATGGCCTCATGTTGGGCGGTGGTTGTGGATACTGCAGGCCTGCAGGCACAAACAAAGCTTGCCTTTGTTTATCTCAACCACAAGGTTACCCAAGATAGACAACACCAGGCCCACTGCAAGGACAGGTTTTTTGAGGTCATGGGCATGTGTCACATGGTAGAGACACAACACCCCATAGTGTTGATACACCCTGCAGAATCAATGGCAACAACATCCAGAGTCAAGGACTGGATGTACTAAGAAAGCCAAACATGTTATACAATAGGCACCTCGTTTCTGGGCAAATGTATTTCTGATACTCTTTCCCACAAATCCAAAGATGTTGCAGAAGGTTGTGTGTGCAGTGGAGAGACGATTGTCAGAGGGACGATGCAATAGCCAATCCTCTCTGAATGCGTCAATTTGGTTGGCATCAAAACAATCAGAAAACTGACAATCTCCAGCAGCTTACATTCCCAATTATTCTTCCTGCCCAAAAAAGGTTGAAGGAATTTAAGCACAAAACTTGCAACAAATGTGACAATCAGTGTTCCCAATTAGCAGCTGATGACTACTGAGCCAACAATCAAGGTCTCCTAACAGACTTTAATAGGGCCAAGTTGCGCAGAAAATAATACTGTGGCGAATTTACGCCAAATGGTGTGGTGATGTTGAATTTCTCAGGGGCTGCCATTAGTGAGAATTCTGGACTAAATACAAGGCCAGAGCCTGTGCAAGGTGAGCCATGACTGCCAGCAACACATAGTCACTCCAAACGCAGTCGCCTCAGTTTCGATTCTGATGGGATTTTTGCCATTGAACTTGCAAATGCCTGATCTGCTGCTGTGCTTGGCGGAGTGGTTTCAGAACAAGGAATCGACACTGATCTCAACGCCACAAGAACGATTTCGGCCTGCAACACACAATTATGGTGTTGATCAACACTCTTCATCTCCTTTGGCAGATACGCCCTTGGCTACCAGCACGGTCCCATGTCTGAATCCGATGACCTCTGCTGGCCAAGACAAGACACGGCGCCCCATGGGCCCCATGTTGCTGTTCCCTATGAGCTGCGTCTTCAAGACCTCAGCGAACCCATTGCAGGAACAAGGTCCAAACGGATATTACGCTGTATGGTCGATGGGAAGCGAACAAACGGCATCGAACAAATGGTGCCCATGTTACTACGCCCAGCGTCGCTGTTCAGGCGCCTCGCCAGCAGTTTATCACTCCTTAACAAATGCATTCAACGGATCAATTACAAAAAGAAGAGCGAAAGAAAAATCTATTGGCGGAATCCAACTCGCCACGCCCACATGGAAGGACGCGCCCGCAAGCAGAAGCGAACTGCGTTCCTGCAATCGGCGCCAGGGAGCGACATTCCGGCAAGCACCAAAGCCTTGGGGAACGGCGCGGCGGGATCCAGCGTGCCCATCACGCAGGGCACGCCATCCGCCCCCAAAACCCCGGCGCCATGGTCGACCTCCGCTTCGCTTCCGCCCAGCGCCACCGTCTCGTTCCATTCCGAAACAAACCGGGGAGGCGGCAGGGGGCTGATAAGAAGGCACATCCCGTCAAACATTCAACCCCTCACCAGTTCAATCCACCGACACTCAGTTTTGAGGCACGCCAACCAGCACTGATTCGCGTGCCAATGCATCGTGCCAAACGCCTGCGCGGGGCCTTACCCAGGGCCTGCCAGGTTTCGTAGTACGACATCGCGGCTGCCGATCGCGGGAGGGCGGGCGGCTGGCGCGGCGGCGGCTCCCGCTGACCTGACTAGGGCGCGAGCGTGCGAGGCGCCGGTCGCGGCGCGAGGACGGCACCTGCCGGAGCACCGTGCTCGGCAGCAGGGGTCCGTTGCTGTGCTGCGCGAGGACCCTAATTAGGGGTCACTCCTTTGGAGGCAACTTGTGAACGCCCGCTGGTGGTGAGAAAAAATCAGTCCCTCTGTCTCATCCCTGAAGACCCCTACTTCCGGTGACAAGGCCAACGCCGGTCAGTGGATCAGTGGTTTGGGGTGTCCGAAACAAGAAGGGATCTTCACGGACAAGACCGAGGGACTAATTTCATGCCGTTGGTGGTGGGATGGATGCGCCAATTGGATAGTTACGCAGAAGTGGCGCCATTGCTGGTTGCGCCATATTCATGGTGTGGCCGGAAACAGGGAACCGTTGGCGGCGGGCACTGAAAAGCGGCAGGGCTCGATTGCAACCTAACAACCATTATTCCTTGAACATGAGCTTGATAGAAGCGTCGACCGGGCAACTGGATGGATGAGAAAGATGGGGATATGGACATTCATCAGGTTTCTTCTCTGAGTGTGTTGCTGTCTGTGGACCTATGTATATTGTAGCCCTTGATGTTGTGGGAGTAGGGTTCTTTGCCGATCATTGCGAGGTCAGTGTACACCGCTTGCAAGGGGATATTGCCTGACTATCTGAGTTTAGCAGAGACACGTAACAAGATCAATGTGTCGAATTTCCACATTGCCTGTGAGGCTGTTCACTCATTCTGTTACGCGCACCAGCCTGATGTGGGGGACGCCCTGCCCAAGATAACTACCCTCAACCCATGGTAACCGTTCTAGGTATTAGGATACGGGAGTAGGAGGGGTGGTCCTGCCTAGGTCCCCGTAAGGACCTAAGTGCCCGGCGAGGCGGGTCCGCGGCTCAAAGAGGGCAGGAACCCCACACCCACACGCTTTACGTATCATTTGGTTTTGGAGCCCACCTGGGGGTGGCTACCACGCTTTCGCCTGGGAGGGCGAGCGAGAACGGCACACCGGGCCCCTTCCCCGGCCTCCTCTATGGAGGCTGAGGAAACGGATCCTGAAGCCCGGAATGGCACGCCCGAATCTTCGGGCGAGGAAGAGACACCCCGGAAGGGGACGCCGGCCAGTTCGGTCGGTGAGGATGTTACAGCCCGGAATGGGCAGGACCAGGAAGAAGTCCGGAAGGACGTTGCCGGGCCATCGTCAGGTCGAGCTGAGCCGGAAGGTAGCGACCAGCCGATGGCCAAGGCGGAGGAAGCCCCAGGAGAGGAAGCCCCAGAAGAAGAGGCGCCAGAGCCGGGTACGGTTGCGGCCCTGCTGAAGGCGCCTGACATCATGGAACTCTTGGAGCAGATGGCGGCTGCTGCGGCCAAGCAGGCGAGAGAGAAGCGGGATGAAGAGACCGCCAAGAAGATCGCCTCCTTGGAAATTGTAGTGGCGGCGGCTCAAAAAGAAGCCCGAAGGAACGAGGTGGCGATGAGGAAGGCGAAAAAACAGAGCCGCCAAGCCGAAGAGGCCAAGACCGCTGCTGAACAGCACGTGGTCGAATTGAGCGACCGCCTGCTGAAGCACAAACTGCGGGCGCAAGAGGCAGAAGAGAAGGTCGCTCAACAAGCGAAACAACCCGAAAAGGGACCTGGTCCATCTGAGCCGCACATGCCGAGGATTCCAGAAGCGGAGGGCGACTGGAAGACTGTCGGCAAACAGCGGCCAAAGCGGAAGAGCCCGTCGCCAGGTGAGACGGTGCCGAAAGTTCGGACACAATCGCATAAAGGCCAGAAGGTCCAGCCCGTTGGGCAAGGGGAGGAGATCGGAGGCCGAAAGGTCAGGACCCCGGAGCCGCGGGTCAGGTCACAAGTGCACATAAGAACACGGTGACCTAGTGAACCTGTAGTGACTGGATACCGTACTGTACATTGACGGGTAATTAGATGACTTAGATGAGTTAGATGTGTTCATCTGAGTCTAGAAATGTGTTAATCATGATCGCCACGTTCATCTTGTTAAATGGGCCAATTTTCGGTATAATGTTGTTATTAAGGTAATTTAGATCATTTAACCCATTTCTGGCCATTTGGGGCATTATTCCTTGATGGAACCGGTGTGATTATGCACATTATAGTCTATTATGATGTAGTGCGCGGTCATGGGCGAATGGGAGCCGCCAGGAAGTGGTGGAGTACACTCCAAGAGATTATGGGGTTGATCCGGCAGTACAGGCACCTGTCAGGTACCCGCATTACATTGGATCATAGGTACAAGCGCCTCTACGGCCATGGTACCTTGGAGGGATGTGGTATAGCTTGGGGAAGCCGCCTGGCATTACTAGGGGTACGCCAAGGGGCTAAGGGACCTTGTGAGTGGCTCTCCAAGGGCCGAGGTGATCTTACAGGAGGTCGAGGGTGGCATGACAGGAGTGTATTGGACATTACAGAAGGCCGAGGGTGTCATGACGAGAGGGGGAGCGCGCCACCTATAAAAGTGGGCACCCCATAGGCCATTTGTCTCAGTTCGCTGGTGCACTCGACCTTGTCTAGACCAGGGGGCCCACCACCATTGTAATACATTGACCGAAGCTCCGCCATCTGTCCCATTTGGTCGCCATTATTCTGGGGATTCTACAGAACCGGAGCAGAGTAGCGACGAGTCGCTCACAGAAAGCGGTTGTGCTGTATGTGGAGCCAGTCCGGAAAGGCCGAAAGGTCGTGAGTGGAGCCCCCGGAGACCCGCATTACCGGAGTGGGGACCGGGAGAGAGCGCCAAGGTGCTGGAATTCATTCCAGACACTGGTACTCCATACAGCCGGCAGCCACCATGCCGTGCTATGTGGACTAAGTTCCACAGTGATCTTATTGATGAATTGGACAAAGGCTGGCAAATGGCCGCAGAAAGATTTGGGGAAAAGCTAACCACCGCGAGACTGGTGAGAATCCAGAGGTGGTATGGTCCTGGAATGGCAGATCAAATTGCCAGAGAGGACCCGAATTGGCCTTAAAAAATGGCCTTTGCGCTCAGACATATCCCTGAACCATGGGACTTGAGCGAGGGAACGCCGGAAAGGCCAGACCCCAATGATCCCCACGAGCGGTGGGAGGAGATCTCAGAATTGTTGTTCTCATCATGCGCTTCTCCGTTGCCGGGAGATATGTCGACATGGGCGCAAGTGCATAGAATGGAAAAAGAGAGATGACATATGCGAAATCGAGATTGGTTCGCTCGTGCAAGGAAGTTGGATGAGCGAAAGGCTCGAAAAGCCAGCCAGTGCAGAGAGCTGAAAGCTTTGCGG